AGTAACATTGCGAAGCAGGACGCAAGGGAGGTGGTAAGGTAGGTGACATAGAAGGGTTAGACACAGGAGTGGACATAGGAACTGGAACTGGAAGAGGAATAGACTGCCTACTCACTTCCCCAAAACACTCCCCCTGAGAAGGATCCTTTAAGAAAAATGATGTGAACTCAAAAAATGTGACATCCATAGTAATATACCGACTCCCAGAGGCTGGATCATAATAGTAGTACCCTTTCTGATTTTCCACATACCCAAGGAAAACACACTTCTTTGCTTTTGGGTCGAGCTTCGAGCGGTGAGGACCAAGAACATGTGCAAAGCAAACACACCCAAACACCCTGAGAGGAATGTGGAACATCTACCCCTCAGGAAAAAGGAGGCTGAATGGGGTGCTACATCCAAGTATACGAGAGGGCACCCTATTAATCAGGAAGATTACTGTGAGAACTGCATCACCCCAAAACTAAACTGGAATAGTGGATGTGATCATCATGCTTCTTGCAATCTCAACAATGTGTCTGTTCTTCCTCTCTGCAACACCATTCTGCTGTGGACTGTAGGAAGAACTGCTCTGATGGATAACTCCATGCTCTAACAGATACGAGGCAAGGTTCTTTTCAAAATATTCCCTGACATTGTCTGATTTGAACACCTTCACTCGTACCCGAAACTGTGTTAGCACCATCTGATGAAATTGCCGAACCAAGGATGATACCTCATTACGAGATCTCATTAAGTAAATCCAAGAATATCGAGAAAAATCATCCATCAATAAAAGAAAATATCGATAGCCACCCATAGAAGGAACATGGTATGGTCTCCACACATCAGAATGAATATCATCAAAAGCAGATGAACATCTTTTATTACTAGCTTTAAAGGAATGTCTACAATGTTTTCCAAGCTGACAACCTTCACACTCTAGTCTAGACAAATTAATAGACTCAAAAAGCTTTGGAAATAAGAAACACAAAGAAGAAAAGGAGAAATGACCCAAACGATTATGCCAAAGCATAATCCGACTCACAGACCCTGACTCACTATCCCTGCTGACATGATGACCCTGATGATGAGGAAGCACATCCAGGAGGTAGATTCCATTCACTTCACGACCACTCCCAATCGTCCTCTTTGAATTCAGATCCTGCAAAACACAGTGACAAGGAGAAAAAATTACTGAGCAATTCAGGTTCTTAGTCAAACTACTAATAACAAATTAGTACTCAATCTGGGAACATGAAGGACAGAGGGTAGGGAAATGGAATCAGTAATCTTGACAGACCCCTTCCCAGCAATGGGAACATGAGATCCATCGCCTGTGGAGACTTGTCTTTGCTAGAACAAAGTTGGTAAGAAGAAAAAATAGTGGAACTATGGGTCATGTGCTCTGAGGCTCCAGAATCTATAATCCAAGGAGGTCCCTCCTTACCTATAGTAGAAACATAGTTTATAGTGGCATGTGAACTACCTGTGTGAGCAAAGGAAGTAGAGTGTGCTCCAGAACCACTTATACCTAGCTGTCCACTTGTTGCTGAATTAGGGCTGACTGTATCTCGCTGATTCAGGAACTGCCCATATCTCTCAAGTTCAGCCCTCATTGTAGTAGCTGCAACAGACTCCAGAGTAGCTGTAGTAGGAGGGCCAGGTATGTCACCAGTGACTGTCATGTGAGCATTTCCCTTCTTGTTTTGGATTCTATTTGGCACAAGATGAGGATGAAGCTTTCAGCAGGTATCTCTTGTGTGTTTAGGCTTCTTACAGTAATCACAAATCAATTCCTTCTTATCGTCCTTCCTGATTTCACTGCCACCTCGGTCTCCACTCTGTTTAGGTTTCACAGTACTGACCATGGCTGATTGTTCAAAACCAGAATTCTTCATCATCACATTTCTCCTACTCTCTTCCCCTGATACAAAGGCATATGCCTGAGAGAGAGTAACACTGCCCTTGGAAAGGATATGTTGCCTTGCAATATCATATTCGGGATTAAGTCCAACAAGAAATTCAAAAACCCTATACTTCTCTAGGAGCTTCTAGTAGGCAGTTGCATCTTTAGTGGTTTCCCAAACAATTGTCTCCAGATGGTCAATCTCCTGCCACGAGTTTTAAGGGATGAAAAATAAACAACAATAGTTCTATCTCCCTGCCTGGTAGCAATAATCTGATTCCTCAACTGATAGGTCCTAACAACATTTTCACTCTGTGAGTAGGTTTTTGCAACCCCATCCCATATTTCCTTAACTGTATTTACCCACAAAAAGTTTTACTTATATGGGGCAGCATTGAAGTACACAGCCAAGTCATTACCATATAGTTTTCCTGGTACCCACCGGGAGCTGTTAGTCATGGGTTTCACTTCCTCACCAGTGATATATCCCAACTTCCCATGAGCACCAATGGCTATCTTTGCAGATTGTGACCATTCTAAGTAATTTGAACCATCTAACTTAACTGTAGTAATGGTCCCAACCCCGAAAAGGTCTCCAACACCTCCTCCTACTGGTCCCATTTCACTCCCAGGTTTGTTTTCAACTCCATTACCCTCCATAATTCTCAAAAAAGGGTTATAAAGTTACTTCAAGAAAATAGAATATGAAATAAATCCCTTTAAGTATCACAGACTCCCTTCTGGTACCCCAGATGATCCTCCACAAAGATTCCTTTTCTGCGGGACTAGAGAAAAGAGAGAAGAGGCTGTCGCTCTCTCCATAAACCTCCAAAAAAGGTAGGACTTGAACTGCCCTCTTTAGAAAACTCCAAAGAACCCTAAAAAATTAGGGTGCCACTTCCTAGGTCAAAATTGAAGAGTCCTACAAAAACAAGACTCTCCTCCTTTCTCTAGTTTTTCCTGAATTTGATGGGAAACCCTAGACCAGCTATAGGGCAAAACAAATCCACCAAAAAATCCAAAAACTGGGCTTACCTGAGATCTTCGATCAGCCTCTCAAATCACCATGTAGTTGGCCGATCTAGGGCTGCATGATAAAGTAGCTCAAGGAACCTTCGGCCTGCTCTGATACCAAGTAGAAGTTGCTGATTGCAGTTTTAGATGAATTCCTTGTGAAGAAAAGTAGAAGTTGAAAGGTTTCAGCAGTAGAGAAGAAGAGAGGAGAAGAAAGAGAGTGGGATGTCAAGCAGAAAAAAAAAGGTTCTGGCTGCCAACCCCTCTTTGTATTATATACTTGAATTAAAATAATGTGAGATTACAAGAATGCCCTTAGTAGGGTGGCTACTTAAGTAGCTGAACAATCACAACTAAAAAACATAAACTAATGGGCCTAAGGCCCAATAACTTCCTAACTTAACAACTTAAAAAATAAAAGATAAAAATTTGTGCCCAATAACTTGAAATCGGCCCAACTCAACATTATTTATATTGCATTTTTGTAATTTTTTATATTATTTATTATTTATTTATAAAAGCCATGTATATATATGATGAAAATAGTTGAAAAATTACTTATATTTTTTGTTTTTCTTTATTTAAACTGTTATATTTTCTTTTTCTTTTAATAATTTATTAATTTTTTTAAAAAAGTTAAATTGAATTGGATCACATCTAGATATCCAACATCCTTATCGGATTCGATCTGAATCAATATGTGTGAGATCCAATCGGATCAGACCCTCAAGTCATCGAATCGGATTCAGATATACCCTGTGATTCGAACCTGATCCGATCCGTTTGCATCCCTAGAAGCGAAGACCTAATGAACTATTCAGTTTGACCATTTTCTCCAACCGAACTGAACCGAACTAGAGTTCATAACCGAACCAATCCTAACTGAACTCAGTTCGGTTAGGTTCGGTTTTTGGTTCAGTTGGTCCCTGATTCCACATAAATGGTAAACATTCAACAATTAATGAATAATTAATAAGTGTTATTAATTAAAAGTTAGATTAACTATTGTTAAGTAAAAGTTAGAATAGGTCCAAAGCCCAATGCTAAAGGTGAGTTGCTGAATTGGTCATTATTCACAAACAATTAATAATTAGTCTAGGTTTTAATTAACTATTATTACTTAAAAGTTAGAATGGGCCAAATCCCAATGGGGAATTGCTAAATTAGTCATTGAGAAAGATAACAATTAATAAGTATAAAGTATTAAATAAAACATTAAATATTTAATATACTTAATTAAATAAAAAGCACTAGTTCTGTTTGGTTGAAAATCTCAGCCAAACCGAACTGAAACCGATAACCTTTTTTTTTTTTTAAATCTGAACCAATAATACTCAAATTAACCGAACCAAACTAGCTTATTTGGTTTGGTTTGGTTCGGTTAGGTTTTAGGTTTATCATCCAAATTTGAGCACCCCTATACATCACTATTCAATTGCAGCTTACAGATGTTCTTACCAGAGTTAGTGAGGTTCACTTATGTGAGGTTATTAGCAAGTTTGGTATGATGGATCTTTGCACCAACTTGAGGGAGATGTTTGTAAGGGTAGTATGGGTATTACATGTATGTCTCAATATATTCTGTCATTTGTCTTGTTCAGAGGTAGAAGTGTCCTGCTGCTCCATATTTGATCTAATAAAATAACTGAGTGGGCAGTCAAACAGATTAGAGACCTCACGATTACATCTCTTCTCTGTCTTCTTCTTTCATCTTCTCTCTTAAACCCTAAGTGCACCATAAATCAATACGATAAAACATCAGCAAATATTTCTTCTGAAGAGTGACAGCTGGTGCCTCGATGCACGTGAGAGCTGCCTTTCAAGGAAGCAGGTAATAAGTAAGTCTTGCTTGCAACATTTTTATTCAGATTTTGGACCTTTTTTTGGATCTCTATTGTCCAACATTCTAATGCTCAGGATATAGAAACATAGAAGATATCCTTGACCTTCCTTGGGACATGGCACAACTACCCCTTTAGAGCCTTAGGGAGATTATGTTAAGAGCTGATAAAGGTTGATCATCATTTGCTGTTGTTGTTACTGCTGTTTCTATTGTTGTGATTGCTATTTCTATTGTTGTGGTATGATCACCCTCCAGGGAATAATATCTATGGTGACAATGTGAGGGAAATCCTATTGAAACTGGAGCAGGAAGGAAGGGAAGAACTAGCAGCTTACATTCTTATGCAAAGGATTTTTCCCACTGCTTCTTCTGCATTTCTGGTCCGAGATGGCATTTATCATCAAGAAAATGCCATATCAGAACTTGGGATATATAGTGCTTATCTAAGGTATCAAGTTTTCTATTTCCCTTTTCTGTCATGTTTTACCCTTTTATCATGTATGCATTGGAGAGAGGGAGAAGGATGAACAATTAAGGCAGAATAAAATCCTGAGTTAAAGTTCAGTTTTTTTTTTTTTTTTAAATTAGTTACACTTCTGAACTGTAGTTTTTGAAGGTTATAATGAATGGCATTGAGTATGATATGCAGGAACAAAGAGAAGGTTATAATGAATGATCAATGTGGTTACCTGGTGCGTACAAAGGTGTCATCATCAAATGAAGGTGGAATTGCTGCTGGTTATGCAGTCCTGGATAGTATATATTTGAATTGATTGAACTGACGTAAGGTAAAGTAAACATTAAATCTTTTTTTTGGTAATAATTAGTGATTTAAGTAATCATTAAATCTAAAAGCTTGGAATCAACTCATGTAATTGAAGTTATTGGCTTAATCCATCTTTTGATCTATAATGACCATGGTTTTGAATTTCCATCAAAATCAAAATGGTTCCATTTCCGTAATAATCAAAACAAAGCTTTACTTGCTTAAGTTTTAGTCAAACTTTAGTAAGTTTTTTGTTTTTTTAATCGACATGTTATATTGACAAATACGAGAAGTGCATAATTTGAAAAAAAAAATGAGAAAGCATTCCAGATAAGGTTCTAGGAAGCATATGCTGAGAGGGGCTTTCATTAAAAGGAATAGAGAGAACATTGTGAGAGTTATCTAGGAATTCCTAGTAGAGCTAAACCTCTACCTCTTGGAAAATACTCTCTCTCTCTCTCATGTATGACTTGCATAATTATATGCTGACATTATGGACTAGTGAAAAACGCCTTACCATGTTCTGCTATTGAACATATATTGGGTGGTTTTATATGATGTCATTGTTATCATTGTTCAATGTGTAACCTGAGCAGTTACCTTTGAGGATAATATATATTATTCCATGCTCAATCTTGTAAATTTCTTATGTTATATGGCATTATTTTTTAAAGATCCAGTGCTTGTTCTTTATGAAAATTACCAAGTTTTTCCTACTTGAGTGTTTGCGTAATGTGTATATTATGGAGTATTTCCATGTTTTATGTTTATACACTTTAGAGATAACTTTTTCACAAAGTAAAAGTTGGAAGCTTATGTTTCATTTTTTCAGAGAGGGTTCTGCCCCAAGCACATGCATCACCCAGTCAGCTGAAGGCCCAGATTTCTGGGTTGATGGTCCTACTACGCCTCAGGTATCAGCATTTGTATTAATAAAGAGAAAATTTCTTCATATAGCCATTGGTTGTGCATGTAAAAGGCGATTTTACACTCTTGTATTGCCTATAATTTAACACTGGCATTTAAAAGAATAAGAAAGGATGTCTAGAATAATTGATTGGGAAATTCCTCCTYACCAGAAAAAAAAGTTTTATCATCCCTCTTTCTTTTTTTTTTTTGTTTTGATCAAATTTATCATCCCTCTTTCATTGTCTTTCACATATCATGGGTATAATAATTTCTTGCAATGTCATACCAACCAGAAAAAAAGAATGTTTTGGTGTCATGTTATTGTTTTATTTTGCTCGTGCTGCTATATGTTTGAACCTGCATGAAACACTCTTTGTTCCTTTTGCCTCCATGCTCATTGGGAAGGTTAAAACCTTCCTGACTTTGAAGTTTTATGTTTAAGCCTACAGTACTAGAGCTAGGTGGATAAAGTGAATGTGTATTCCAGCGGTTCTCAATTGATGCATAGTACATTCAAGTTGGACAATTGGAGAAGTTTTTTAGGATATAGAATTGGCTATGCTAGCATCCTTTGTGGAGGAATTTTTATAAACGCTTCATACATACAGCACGATATTGGACAATCAGGATATAGATGTGATGTTGAGTTGAGAATATTGTGATAAGATGAATTGTAACTTAGGCTGTTTTTGTTTTGATAGAAAAATAAGAGGGAACAGAAAGTTAAGTTCAATGAGGATATAGATGTGATGTTGAGTTGAGAGTACAATTAGCCAAGGGGATTATTGAGATGGTTTGGCCATACAAGCACCAATTGGTAAGAGAGGTAGAGCAAGCCGACGGCTCCAAGGAAAGGCCCAGAATCTGGGATTAGGCAGTGCAAATACAATGATTGCTTAGTCCAATAGCATGGGACAAAGGAATAATGTTCATGTTGCTGAACCCAATTAGTAGGATGAGGCAGGTGATTATGTGAAATACACAATGTCACAATCCTTGCTTATAACTGCTTCACTAATTCATTGTTCCATTGGAGAGGACCTAGAGTCATTTCTGTGTGGTTTAGGATATTTTGGAGCCTTACCTAGTATATTAAATATGTTGATTTCTCCATCGTGGCACTTTGCCACATTCAGCTCTGGGGCAAGCCTTATGGCTTGCACACTCATGGTCGGTCTTAGTTTGGGGGCCTAGAGAGTCTTGATAAATTTCCATAATAGGCTAAACAAATTCAGGCAGTCATTGACCTGTTAATTGTCTGAGATCATTTAGCTCCGGATGGACTCCCCTTCCTTTTGGACTATACCGAGGAGGCTCTYCTCAGTCCGGGGGCACCGCTTGCTGGTGACGAAGTGCGCGGTGAAGACTTGCATGAACTGGGTCCAGCTCCTTATCGACCTGGGGGCTAGGTTTCTATACCAGGTGCGGGCCACTCCTCTGAAGGTGGTAGTGAAGGCCACACACATCAGGGGAGTAACCCGATGGGAATGCTCCGACGCTCAAGTTAGCACTCTTGATAAAGCAAGGAAGATGAGAAATTCTCTTAAACCAGAAGGCGCAAAGTATCACTTACTTTTTCTCTGGGGGGGAATAGGGCCTTTTATAACCGCCCTGGTGCACTCACTCCCAAGCCTCTGCCAGATCAGGTGTAACCGCCTCTGYGGGGGGCAGACATAACTGCCACTGTCTTCTCTGTCGGAGCCGTCTCTGCAACGACTGAGATGGCGGTAGTAGGTGGCCGTTGGAGTGCGGCTATCATGTGTCAGATCCCTGATCAGTCAGGTGTGCCGCCTCAGAGTACGGACTTCTTTGGTGTCAGGTACGGTCGTTCAGTCATGCGACCTGGAGCCGAGGTGCCGGAGTGGTGCACGAGGTGAAGTCTTCAGCTCGGACAGGAGCGTGGCTTGGACTTACCCGATGTGGATTAGTCCGGGCTTTGCCTTTCGTGGTGTTCCTTGCAGGGCTCGGGATTTCTGAGGAAAGCTCGGGTTCTACCTCCCGAGAAGCGCGGGTTCTCTTTTGGAGAGCTCGGGCCTCTTCTTGGGCTATGGCTATGTCGCTGCGCCGAGTTGACGCTCTTGCCAGGTCATACTCAGTTGCCTCCACGTGTCGCGCGGCCAAGGGGTCGGGCCAAATCTCCCTCCATCAATTGCCCCTCACTCCCCGTGCCTGGGGTCTTGACCCGACGCGGGGAGTTCACGGGATGACGGGTGGATTTGCCTCGTGGCGCGCTTCGTCCAGCT